CACAGAATTGTTACTGAGGGCCACAGAACCGTTACTTAGGGCCACAGAAAAGTTACTCAGGGGGACACAGAATTGTTACTGAGGGCCACAGAACTGTTACTTAGGGCCACAGAATTGTTACTAGGGACAGACACAGAATTGTTACTCAGGGACACAGAATTGTTACTGAGGGCCACAGAACCGTTACTTAGGGCCACAGAAACGTTAATCAGGGACACAGAATTGTTACTGAGGGCCACAGAACCGTTACTTAAGGGCCACAGAATTGTTACTCAGAAGGGACAGACACAGACACAATTGTTTCTTGAGGGACACAGAATTGTTACTGAGGGCCACAGAACCGTTACTTAGGGCCACAGAAAAACGTTAATCAGGGACACAGAATTGTTACTGAGGGCCACAGAATTGTTACTTAGGGCCACAGTAAATTGTTACTCAGGGACAGACACAGAATTGTTACTGAGGGACACAGAATTGTTACTGAGGGCCACAGAAACGTTACTTAGGGCCACACAGAATTGTTACTCAGGGGACACAGAATTGTTACTCAGGGACACAGAATTGTTACTGAGGGCCACAGAATTGTTACTTAGGGCCACAGAATTGTTACTCAGGGACACAGAATTGTTACTGAGGGACACCACAGCCACAGAATTGTTACTGAGGGACACAGAATTGTTACTCAGGGACACAGAATTGTTACTGAGGGCCACAGAAATTGTTACTCAGGGACACAGAATTGTTACTGAGGGCCACAGAACTGTTACTTAGGGCCACAGAATTGTTACTCAGGGACACAGAATTGTTACTGAGGGCCACAGAACTGTTACTTAGGGCCACAGAATTGTTACTCAGGGACAGACACAGAATTGTTACTCAGGGACACAGAATTGTTACTGAGGGCCACAGAACCGTTACTTAGGGCCACATAAACGTTAATCAGGGACACAGAATTGTTACTGAGGGCCACAGAACCGTTACTTAGGGCCACAGAATTGTTACTCAGGGACAGACACAGAATTGTTACTGAGGGGACACAGAATTGTTACTGAGGGCCACAGAACCGTTACTTAGGGCCACAGAATTGTTACTCAGGGACAGACACAGAATTGTTACTCAGGGACACAGAATTGTTACTCAGGGACACAGAATCGTTGAATTAAAGAGTATGTCAGACAACATGCAGAGGAGTGGCAGAGGAGGCAATGTTTTAGGAGCGAGAGCAGACGTGGCAGCAGAGGAAGGGGTCGAGGGGGCAGCACTATTCGCAGCCAGAGCCAGTGCTCCCGGTGTCATCCAGCGGTCGTGTCTCCACCGACAACCCTGCCGTCATCGATTGGTTGGCTCGGTCGTCTTCCTCTTCCCAGGTCACCTCTGACACCTACAGCCAACGGTCGGTGGGTACGTCAGACACAACCGTTAGTTGGCATGGCCCGGGACCAAGCCCACTGAAAATCACGTGTCCTCTACCTGCCCCTGTCCTTTGGTGTTCCCTCACCAAGCGAAGTATCGCATGCTGTGGGCTCAGCCCCACTGTACAGTGAGGAAGAGCTAACAGAGGGCGGTCAGGAACGGGGGGGAGACATCCGCCTTTTCAGCAGCCAGGCGAAGAAGTAGTGGCGAGGAGAGTGGCTCGGTAGCCGGTCTAGAGACAGGTCTGTCTCCTGACCCAGACGCAGCCGAGGGGGCTAGTAGTGAGGCGGAGACCCTACTTGATGATGAGGAGGTTGATCGCACTTGGCAGCCTCGTCGTCATCAGGCAATTTCTTCCGCATCATCAGGAGAAGAGGGTGGCAGCTTGGCAGCGAGCGAAAACAGTCGGTGGGTTGCCCAGGAGCAGCAGCAGGGTCGCAGCAGTGTCAGTGTCAGTGGAGCCAAACGGCCACGGAGTAGAGCACCAGCTCCACTGCAGCCTACCACCACGGCCAGTAGTGGTGCCGGTGTGCACGGAGGAAGCAGCAGTCAGCCAGTGAGGAGTATCGGGGGCAAAGTTTCCTACTCGGCGGTGTGGCAATTTTTTCGTCAAGCCGCCCGAGGAAGTAAACGTAGCCGTATGTCGACTATGTGGCCAGAAAGTCAAGCGTGGCCAGGGGGCCCATGTTGGGACTACAGCGTTGCGGCAGCATATGCAGCGTCGTCGCCATTTGGTGGCCTGGGAAAACCGTGATAAAGATACGGCGGTTCTGCCCGCCCCAGCCCCCGCTCCATCACCCGCTCCGTTACTTGCTCCGTCACCCGACGTCAATCGCCCTCCATCAGCCAGTCAAGGCTCCAACACCTCTGCTGAGGGGAGTTGTCGCTCGTTGGCATCTTCCGCTCGTTCAGATGCTCCTCCTTCTCCTGCTACTCCTCTTCACGGATTCCGTCAGCAGTCTTTCTTGGAATCCGTTTCCAAGAGACAACAGTTTGCGAGCACGCACCCGACGGTGCAAAAGCTGAACGTCCTCCTGTCCAAGTTGCTGGTGCTGCAGTCCCTCCCTTTCCAAGTGGTGGACTCAGCACCCTTCCGAGAAATGATGGCTTGTGCCGCGCCGCGGTGGAGAGTGCCAAGCCGTGTCATTTCTTCGCCAAAAAAGGCAGTGCCAGCCCTGCATTCACATGTAGAAGAGATGGTGGGCCAGTCTTTGAGCATGTCGGTCTCTGCCAAAGTGCACGGCAGCGCCGACGTGTGGAGCTGTAACTACGGTCAGGGACAGTACATGTCATTTACGGCCCACTGGGTGAACGTGGTGCCGTCACAGCCGCACCAGCAACTTGGACAGGTCACGCCGCTTTTGCCTCCACGTTTGCACGTCCTTGGTCCGGCAAAGATGTCCGCCTCTACCACCTCTTCTTCCGCCGTGTCCTCAGCCGCCACCCCCGTGCCAAGTCCCATTACCCGACCGGCATATCACATGTGCAGGGCGCAACGGTGTCACGCTGTGCTGCACCTGGTATGCCTTGGCGAACGTAGTCACACAGGGGAGGAACTTCTCAGTGTAATGAACAGAGAAATCGACAGATGGCTGTCTCCGCGCAAACTCAAAATCGGAACCATGTTGACCGACAACGGAAAGAACATGGTGTCTGCTCTGCGTCAAGGAAGGTTGTGCCATGCGCCATGCATGGCTCACGTGTTCAATCTGGTTGTCAAGCGGTTCCTAAAATCCACCATCCCACTGCAAGACATCCTTAAAATGTCACGTAAACTTTGCATGCATTTCAGCCATTCCTACACCGCAAAGCACACCCTCCTTGAGCTGCAGCGGCAGAACGGAATCCACAGCACAGCATGCCTGATCTGCGACGTTGCAACAAGGTGGAATTCAACCCTACACATGTTAGACCGCCTTTACGAACAGCGAAAGGCCATCACGATTTCCTGATGTTACAAGCGGATAAAGGTACTCCCCTGTGTAACTTTGATGTCAGCCATTGGCAGCTCATGCGTGACACCTGCCGCTTGCTCAGGCCCTTTGAGGAGGCCACGCTATTCGTGAGTCGGCAGGACTATGGGATGAACGACGTCATTCCTCTGTTGCACGTCCTGGAACAAATGCTGTTAACAATGGCTGGTCAGGGTGCGGTAGACGTGGCGCACAGATCTCAACGCCACATGACCCCTGTGGGGGCAGGACAGGAAGAAGAGGAGGAGGTAGAGGAGGACATTTGTGCTCAGGAATTATTGAGTGAAATGGGTGGTTTTTCCACTCAGCGGACAGGAGTGGAGGAGCAGGAGCATCTGGTAGAGGAGGAGGAAGAGGAGACAGAGGACCCAGACGCACCGTGGCAGTATGCTGTGGAGATGGAGGCAGGGAGTCCCTCGCATTCCTTGGCACAAATGGCCCATAGCATGCTCGGTTGCTTGCGTAGCGACAGCCGAATAATAACCATCAGACAGAGGGATGACTTTTGGCTGTCCACCTTGTTGGACCCTCGCTACCGTTCCAAAATGGGTGGCCTTTTTCACACCTGCTGAGAGGGAGGCCAAAATAACGTACTATAAAAACCACCTATGTAGTCAGCTGGTCTCTGCCTGTCTGCGCCAACGTCCATCCTCAGACACTGTGGGCCCTGTGCGCTCGCGTTCCGCTGCCATGGCAGCAGGGGAGGGGTGGGGTGGTAGTAGGAGCAGTGGCAGCTCCACCAGCAGCAGCTGCCTCAGTCTGCAGTCGATGATGAGTAGCTTTCTTCACCAGCGCAGTGAGGAAACTACTAACCAGCCGCAGCAGCAGCAGCAGCAGCATCAGGTGGACCTGGAGCAGGACCTCAAACAACAGGCTTAGGCCTACTTGGACAGCACCCTGCCAACCGAGGTAGACAATCCCCTTGACTACTGGGCAACGAAACTTGACCTTTGGCCCCAACTAGCTGAATTTGCCCTTGAAAGGCTGTCATGCCCGGCCAGTAGCGTGGCATCGGAGCGCGTGTTTAGTGCGGCAGGAGGTATTGCAACTCCGCGGAGGACACGACTGTCCACCCAAAGTGTGGAGAGACTCACGTTTGTGAAAATGAATCAGGCGTGGATTAGTCTGGATTTCAAACCACCAGTTCCTGACACAACTGACTAAATCCGCCATGAATCATGCCCCAAACATGTGCCACTTTCAGGTCTCCTCACACTGCTGGTGTGTTCATTTTTTGACATAGGGTGCTGGCAGATTACGGGCCTCCCATAGCTGCTGCCAGGCCCCTAATCTGCCATGGGCCCCTATACCGCCTCCTCATGCTGCTGCCAAGTCCAGAGTCTGTCATGGGTCCCTGTACGGCCTCCCATTGCTGCTGTCTCCATCGCCACACTCTGCCATGTGCCACTTTCAGGTCTCCTCACACTGCTGGTGTGTTGAATTTTTTGACATAGGGTGCTGGCAGATTACGGGCCTCCCATAGCTGCTTCCAGGCCCCTAATCTGCCATGGGCCCCTATTATACCGCCTCCTCATGCTGCTGCCAGGTCCAGAGTCTGTCATGGGTCCCTGTACGGCCTCCCATTGCTGCTGTCTCCATTGCCACACTCTGCCATGTGCCACTTTCAGGTCTCCTCACACACTGCTGGTGTGTTCCATTTTTTGTCATAGGGTGCTGGCAGATTACGGGCCTCCCATTGCTGCTGCCAGGCCCCTAATCTGCCATGGGCCCCTGTACCGCCTCCTCATGCTGCTGCCAGGTCCAGAGTCTCTCATGGGTCCCTGTACGGCCTCCCATTGCTGCTGTCTCCATCGCCACACTCTGCCATGTGCCACTTTCAGGTCTCCTCACACACTGCTGGTGTGTTCCATTTTTTGTCATAGGGTGCTGACAGATTATGGGCCTCCCATTGCTGCTGCCAGGCCTGTAATCTGCCATGGGCCCCCGTACCGCCTGGTCACGCTGCTGCTGGGTCCACAGTGTGACATGGGTCCCTGTACCGCCTCCCATTGCTCCCACTCTGCCATGTGCCACTTTGAGGTCTCCTCACACTCCTGCTGTTTTCCATTTTGTCATAGGTTGCTGGCAGATTACAGGCCTCCCATAGGTGCTGCCAGGCCCCAAATCTGCCATGGGCCCCCGTACCGCCTCGTCACGCTGCTGCTGGGTCCACAGTGTGACATGGGTACGCCCCTGTACCGCCTCCCATTGCTCCCACTCTGCCATGTGCCACTTTGAGGTCTCCTCACACTCCTGCTGGTTTCCATTTTGTCATAGGTTGCTGTATGGCCTCCCATTGCTGCTGCCTCCACCGCCACACTGTGGCTCCAAACACTGGTTTTGGCCCCGTGACTGGCCAAATGAGTGAAGTGTGCGGTGATTCTAAGATCGACGGCACTCATCTGCATGTCATACTGACTGACAGTATTATTTCTCTTCCCCAGCAGACTCCAAGGGCATTTAAATTAAAGGTACAGTGTTCTGCACTAATATTAAGTCTCTCTGAAGCCTAGAAACACCCTTTTTTAAGTTAAATTCACAGCGAATATATTCGACTCGAATCGAATATTGTCCACGAATTCGCCGAATCAGTCGAATCAAATTTTTGAATACTTCGCTCATCTCTAGAGATAATGAAAATGGGGGATTAGGTGTTCCTGATTTTAAAAGATATTATAACTCAGTATTAATAGCACAAATTTTTGATTGGATACACAATGCACAGGGGAAAAGTTAGATAAATATTGAAAATATATTAAGTAAAGTACATTTGGGTAAGATAATATGGTTACCACCTCACGGTCATGGAATGATGGATAGTACAATCATACTCACAAGAATGGTTACGAGAGTTTGGGACACAATGCACAAACAGATGGGGTGGGAATTTAACTCAGTGTTAATGCCTATCGTAAACACAGATTTCTTCCCGCCAGGGAATGAAAAGATTGCAGGGAGATGGATAAAAAAAGGAGATGCACAATTAAGAGATCTAATGAATGGTGAGGAAATATGCTCCTTAGGGGAAATGAAAAAGAAGAACAAGTTGTTTAATAGAGTGGATGAGTGGCGTTATTTACAAATGAAATATTTTATAGAAAAACTCCGGAGGCCCTTACGGAAGAAAGAAAAGTGTAATCAATTTGAACTTTTGTTTAGTACACGGAGGGATGGAAAACACGGAACTTCAAAAATGTATAAAATTCTTACTAAATTAACAACAAGCACGGCACCGGCATGTATGGGGAAAAGGGAAAGAGAATTAGGAGTTAAGATAGAAGAAGATAAACAAAAAAAGATTTATAAGTTAACACACGGTAATGTAAGAATGAAGGATGTAGAGATGAACTATAAATGTTTGGTGAGGTGGTATATGACACCAAATATAGTACACAAACAAAATAGAGATAAATCACCTTTATGTTGGAGGGGTTGTGGGTCACAGGGCACAGTAGGTCACATATGGTGGGAGGAGTGTTATAAAATCCAAGAATATTGGGAAGAAATAATCCAGCAGGTACAAGAATTAACAGGGCTAAAAATATTAAAGGTACCAGGGATATGTCTTTTTACATGCAACAGAGCTAACAGTAGAAAAATATAGACACCCTGGGTCATTGCAGTACATAAACGCAGCAAAAAGTTTAATTCCTAAATTCTGGATGGAAAAGGGAGGGAGTACCAAATATAATGGATTGGATTAACAGAGTAGATCAGATATATAAAATGGAGGAATTATATCATTTAGATGAAGATAAAATGGAAGGTTTTCGTGAGAAGCGGAAAAAGTGGGAGGAGTTTAGGAAGGTTAAACTAATTGAAAGTATAAAGAAAACCCTAGGACTTCAAAAAAGATGAGAATTGGTGCTGAGTGGAAGGGAGGGGGAGGGAAGGGGAAGGAGGGGAAGGTACGAATTGGAAGAGGGGGTGGGGGCGGGGGAAGGTTTTGTATTTGTCATTTTGTATGTTGTATTTTGGGTGAAAATGTTGAATAAGTGACATTGAATTTTATATTGGAATGGAATAGAAATGAAAAATTTAATAAAATATTAATCAAAGTCCAGTGCTGTACCAGTACATTGCTGGTCCTTGTTGGGTGTATATGCTATGTTCTTTTTTTTTTGTACGCAGCCTGTGGACTGAATGAAAAAAAAAGTAGAAATCTCTGCCAGAAAAAGTGTGTGGTATGCCCACCATTAGAATATTCCTCCCTGCATCCACCCACTTCTAATGGTGGGCACACATTAGGTCACACTTTGTCACATGCACCAGTTCCAAGATTGTACAAATGTCTAAATAGTGGCACACTTGAATAAACATTGTCCACGTATAAGTGGTACCTCATATTGAAAAAGGATGACACCAAGTCCCAAACTATCTTGTCACTGCACCCCATGTAGTCTGGGCATCTGGGGTGCTCCACGTGACTATCTTTTCCCTCATAAATCTAAAACTTATAAGTATAGCCTGTTGTCCTCTCACAGGTCTTCTACATCTTGACCCCATATCTGGCGCGCTTGCTGGGGGAGAAATTGTTTGAATGCAAGGCGGCCAGAAAAATTAGTCAGGGACTCATCAACGCAGATGTTTTGCTGGGAGTATAGACATCTGCAAATTTTTGGTTAAGGTGATTTGCGAGGGGCTGAATTTTGTGGAGCCAATCAAATTCAGGGTCACCCCGAGGATGACAGAGTGTATTGCCGTTGAAATGCATAAAACACATTATGCTGTCATATCTATGCCTGGCCATGGCAGCAGAGAACACGGGCATATGATGAATCGGGTCTGCGGACCAATACAACCGCAATTCATTTCTTTAAGTAATGCCCATGTTGAGGGTTAGGCCCCAAAACAATGTAAATTCGGAAACCGTAATGAGTTTCCATGCGAATGGTCTAGCAAGGTTTGAATTTGGGATGGCGGCGATAAATTGTTGTGCATATAAATTGCTTTGTTCCACAATCAACACATACAGATATTCCGTGAAAAACAGCTCTGAAAATCAAGTGGAGTAGTTAAATTTGCTATTTCCACCTGAATTCTGGGTTGGGCAGTGAATGGGGGAAGTACGGGTGCTGCAGAATATGTGGGCTGTCAATTGGGATTTGCAAGCACATCCGGAAGGATACTAGGAGCTCTATGGGCCTGTGTGCGAATTCTTGGTGGCTGCGGGACAATACTTGTTCTCGCCACCGCACCGGCTTGTACTGGACTTATGGGACTCGCCACGTCACCAAGTCATACTGCAGTGCTGGTATTATTATTATACAGGATTTATATAGCGCCAACAGTTTGCTCAGCGCTTTACAGTATAACGGGAGACAATACATCAACAATACAGTTCAATACAAGAGGGTTAGGAGGGCCCTGATCCAGGGAGCTTACAATCTAAGATATATGTGAAAGACCAAGATGTACTAGACCACTGGAACTCGCCAGTTCACCAAAAGGTAGCAAGGCACTAGTACTGGCACTCTGCTGCATATGATTTTTACATTTTTTTTACTGGACATGTTTTATAGCAAAATGTCCAAAATATTTATTTTTTTTTTTTCTCAAAATTGTCAGACTTTTTTTTTTTATAGCGCAGAAAATAAAAAAAAGCACAGGTGATCAAATACCACCAAAAGAAAGCTCAATTCGTGGGAAAAAAGGACGTAAATTTAATTTGGGTGCAGTGTTGCATGACTGCACATTTGTCAGTTAAAGTAACGCAGCAAAGTAACACAAACCGCTTCTGTAACCACTTCTTGACCGCCCTATAGCAGAAATACTGCTACAGGGCGACATGGGTGCGCAAAATCATATATATATATATATATATATATATATACATGATTTGTAGAGATGAGCGAATTATTCAAAAATTCGATTCGGCTGATTCGCCGAAGTTGCGGAAGAAATTCCATTCGATGCTAATTTATTCGCTGCAAATTTAACTTATTAAAAAAAGGGTTTCTAGGCTTCAGAGAGCCTTTATATTAGTGCAGAACACTGTACCATTAATTTAAATGCCCTTGGAGTCTGGCTGGGGAAGAGAGAAGAAATAATACTGGTTCATTCAGTATGACATGCAGGCATTAGTGCCGTCGATCTTAGAATCAACCGCACAAGCTTCACTCAATTTGGGCAGTCCACGGGCACGACAAAAGAGAAGAAAAGAAGAAGAA